GTAGGTTCAAGTTGTTGCCGTTTTCGTTCTTTAAAGGTACCATCAATATGTTGTCCTTGATAGATGAAGAATAAACATCGGCTGAGTATTTGGATTTATCATCGACCACATAGTTACGGAGTCGTCTGAAATATCATTGTTAATAAGAAAAGGTTGCACGAGGAAATTTGTTGTAGTTACTTGCAAAATGGTCGTTCTGAACAACTTTTGAAGATTGTGTTGTCAACTGCTGTGGTTGTGGTCACCAAAACAACCAAAAATGCGGCGAACCTGCAAATATAAAAATATCGTAACATAATTCGTAGATGTTTTTATCTTTAAATCTACCCCAGAATGCGTGAGGCTGACTGGTTTTCCGGTGTGGGATTCTAAGCTGCTAGCTCTACCCAAATGGGGTATCGTCCCATTTTGTTTCAAGTTCAACATGTGTTTTGAGGGGTATATTGGCATTAAAACCCAACGCTTGCCGGATTGGTTGGTAAGTGGTAGCAGTATCACAGCCGGTTAAATCAGTATTTGATTTTCGCCTGCAACTTTGTGGTACCGCACCTGTCAGGAATTGTATTCCTTAGCCACGGACCACTAATGGCACAGCTGCTTACCTGTGTCATGTCCTCCGTTGATCGGCGGGTACTTATTTGGTGAAGCCTTATTCGTACCTGTCCTGCATATTTACAGGAACATTCCCTATCGGCCATTGGGACGTCCGTCTCACACCAAATACTGAAGAACCCCTACTCAGTTCAACGTCCCTCCTCTACACAAGCTAAGACCGGCAGGTCACACCAGTCCAACTGTCATTTTTAACATTAATATTTTTTGCTTCTGGAAAAATGCAAATATCAGTCAGCAGCCGAATTTATGCCATTCTAAGATGCATAGCTGCAGTTCTTTGTATTTTAATACTAATTGAATCCTATGGAGGCGCAAATGCAGAAATATATTGTAGAGAAAAAGAATGTTTGCATTAAATGTACAAAAAATCAGTGAAAGTTTAAAAATTGAAAATATATTGTTGCAAAATGGCTGGATTCTACACATGATCAAACAACATTTAGTAATAGTGCCATACAAGGATTTGAAGCTGGAGACTTTGTTAGGTTTGTACTATTTTTATAGTTGGTGAGTGTGGTTGCAGTTTAAAATCATATTTGATGACACGGCTAGACAAAATACTAGAGCAGAAGCAAAGAAAATCGAATGCGATTTATTTTAAAGTGACTATGAATGTAATAATAGCAGCAACAATATTTTATAACATCACCATAAAAAATGGAGTCTTGTTTTCTGTAGATCATATTCTAGATCAACAAAAAAATCATTTAATTAAAGCCATGAAAAAAAAAGAAGAAACTTTCCTGCAACTTCAAGGTGAAATTGAGATGAATTATGCATTAGATAACATTTTGTAGAACTATATTTACAATTTCTAAAACAATATTTTCTTTTGTTTCTGACGTAGTTTATGTTTTACACTTACTTTCATATTTGTCAAGATCTATTTTATAGTATATGATGCTTATATTTCAGTAATCTGGACTTTTGTAATTGTACATGAGGAAACATACAGATCCTTGCTCGAAAAAGGACTTTGAGTCCGAATGTTGATACCAGCCAATCAGAGTTATGTATTATTAACAAAAAACTATTAACTATTTGCGATAAAATAATACTCTATGAAATCAGTATAATGTTGCGATACTTATTTTGTTTCTATCAGCAAGATTTGTGCCTCTAAAAGCATTATATAATAAACAGATACTCACCTTATCATCACTACCATAAGAAGTACATCAATTATGATTTACTGACACTGATCTATAATATATAGATATAAATATAACTCTTATCCTATTGTTTAAATTATCATCAACCACTCGACTTTTATCAATATATTAAGAAGATCAGCTGACGCAAAACAATAATTACCACTAAGAACAAACAATTATTTTTAAAATGCTTATGAAAGATATCAATAAACTTATGGTTACTATTTTGGTTTCTATATATTTATCTACATCTAAGGACAGTTTTAGATGAGGAGAATTGTCTAAGTTGATGTTAAAACTTGAATTATTTATTGGCGTTTAAAGAGAAACCTTTATTTCCTCTTGGAAATATTGTCCTCCTTGTCCTGAATTCCTCCATAAATTACCCTCAGAGTTTTTCTCTCCCGTATTCCTTGCTTGTTTCCTTCTTATTTATTTAATATCCATAATTCACAGTAATGATTTACTGCTGGACACATTACTGTGATACATAGCTTTACACCTTTTTCATGTTCTTTTGATTTTTCCTTGATGATCTTCATTTCAGTTTGTGATTATAACGTCAAAATAATCAAATTTGCTTACTTTTTTGAAACAATATCCTTTTTAATTAATACTCTTCTGCTGTAAGATTTGCTCCTGTATCGATTCTTTCCCAAGTTAATATGCTCCTCTTCTAACTTTGCTGCACCGTACTTAAGACGACCAATAGTCAAAAATACGTATATAAGATTGCCTTCCATCTTATACACATATTTTATTATATTTTTTTCTTTTGTTGCGAGCTATGCCGATATCCTCTACCTTTATTATCTGAATTTCTTAAACTTCTTGATGATGAATCTTTAAGAGTACTATGTAAAATCTTCAATAATATCTATGACACAGGCAATATCCCAAAAGATTGGCTACTTTCAGAATTTATTACCTTACCAAAGAAATAGGGAGCAAAAAAGTGCGGAGAATATAGGCTAATAAGTCTAATGAGCCATACATTAAAACTTTTTCTTAAAATTATACATCGTAGAATATACAAGCTATGCGAAGAGAGAATACAAGACACACAGTTTGGATTCATGAAAGGCCTAGGTACAAGAGATGCACTGTTTAGTCTACAAGTATTATTTCAAATATGCAGAGATATGACTTGCGATATTTACACCTGCTTTGTGGACTACCAAAAAGCATTTGATACAGTTCAACACCAAAAAATGATGGATATTCTAACAAAAGCCCAAATGGATGATAAAGATCGGCCGTATAATACAAAATTTATACTGGAACCAATCAGCCACAATAAGAACGAATTTTGGAGGTGAACCAACGGAAATGATCCAGATTCTACGAGGCGTTAGACAAGGTTGTATACTTTCACCTATATTATTTAATCTATATTCAGAGGAAATATTTAGTGAAGCCTTGGAAAAATGCGAACATGGAATACTTCTAAATGGAGAACGCCTAAACAACATCCGTTATGCAGACGACACCGTTATTTTTGCAGACAGTTTGAACAGTTTACAGCACTAATAAAACAAAGTAAATGAAGTAAGTGAAAGATTTTGGACTTTAAATAAATATAACAAAAACTAAATTTATAATCATCAGCAAAAATAAAGTTAGAGACGCTCAACTACTTATCAATAATACACCAGTGGACCGAGTTAAACAGTATAACTATCTTGGAACAACAGTAAATGAACAATGGGATCACTCACAGGAAATAAAATGTATAGAATAGAGAGGCTAGGAGTGCATTCAATAACATGGCCAAACTCTTTAAAAGCCACAATCTTAATCTGGAGACAAAAGTAAGGCTCCTATGATGTTTATCTTCTCAATATTGTATTACGGAGTTGAATCCTGGACACTAACTGAAGCAATGGAGAAAAAACTTGAAGCCTTCGAGATGTGGCTATACAGGCGAATTCTAAGGATATCATGGACAGACAAGATAACCAACGAGACCAAAGAAAGAGAGGTGATGTATACCATTAAAAGGAGGACAGTTGGAATATCTCGGACATATAATGAGAAACAGCACTAAATACAGATTACTGAAGTAATCCTACAGGGTAAAGTATTCGGAAAGCGAGGAATTGGGAGAAGGAGAATATCATGGTTGAAGAACCTGAGGAAATGGTTCTCCACAAACAACAACGAATTTATTTAAAGCAGCAGTTAATAAAATAATTATAGCCAGAATGATTGCCAATATTCGGAACGAATTGGCACTGAAAGAAGAAGAACTCGCATTAATCTTTTTCTTGTTGTTTGAAATTTTCTAAACGTTTGGCATTCCTCTTCTCGGCAGCTTAGCTGCCTATGTGGATGTGTTAGTGGTTGTTTTTGCAACCTTAGAGTATTCTATTATTATTGCCAGAAATTGGTCGCATTGCTCCTGTAGTGATCCTTTTTAAGTTAACATGCTCCTTTTCTAACTTGGCTGCATTGTACTGAAGACGACTATTAGTCAGAAATACGTATATGCAGTGCCACTTTACTGGTATTTTTCCTGCTTTGTATATTTTATTAAATATTTCAGTTATTATTTTTATTTGTTCTGCATCTAAAAGCTTCAACAGTTCTGCAGGGATTTCATCAAGTCTCGGTGCCTTTCTATTCTTCATTTGTCTGACGGCTGCCATTATTTCTTCTTGTAGGACTTCGGGACCTGAATGTTCTTGAATGGTGGGCTCTTGTATTGTTTTAAGGTCATGGAAAAGTTTCTTCAAGTATTCTTTCCATAGTTTCTTTTTATCTTCTATCTTATATGTCTATTGATGGGTTAGATAATCTGGCAGCTCTGTTGGTGAGGCCGATAACTACAGATTTCTTTTGGAACAGATGATTTTGGGACTCGACGACCAGGTTTTTTTGGTGAACGATGAAGTAGTTATTGTATGTAAAGTCGCTCTCAAAAAATTGATTTGACAATTTTTTTCAACTTCCAATGTAAATTTTAGTTTTCGGTGGAAGATATTAAAGTCATTTAACATGATATCAATTTTATCCTCAGGTAGGGTTTCTCCGCAATGTAGTTTTAAGCTAAAGGTGATGTGATGGCAATCCAGATAGATTTGGATTGTTTAAAAACTCTGTAGGGTATTTTTTCAGCTTTTCTGATTAAGATGTTAATTTTCAACACATATTAACTTTTAACAAAATAAGTATTTTTGTAAGGAACGAATTAATTTCTAGGATTTTTAAGGTAAAAAATAAAAGATGAATTCATAATATTGACAGTGTACTTTATTGTATTAAAAACTAAGTTCTAAAATTCCATTGCCCTCTCGTAATGCTTTGGCGATATCAATTTTATGAAGAGGTGTCCCACGTGCAGTTTTCGTAAACACTGATTTCTTGATTTCTAGTTCGCCTAAAAAATATTGAATACTAATTTACAAAACATTTTACATTTTTTAAAGATATTTTGTTCATATAGAACACCAGGAAACTAGAATGTCTGTATATTTTGACCTAACGGCAGATTCTTCTATTTTTAAATAATCTGAATATAGCAATTCAGTAGACAAAGCAATTATTCAAATAAAGTTCTAAGATTTTGTACATTGGTAAGTGAATTATTGTTGTTTTATTGAACTACATCAAAAATACCACTTCTATATATGTATTCAGCCAAGAACATCGATCTTCTTGGAATATATCTTTTTCAAGATATCTTTTAATGATTGCTGGAGCTGTTTTGGTGACGTTGTACTTTCCTTTGTTAACTACCTAGTTTCTTCTTCTTCCTCTTAGTATGTAGGTTTTAAAGCCTGTTTCTTCTTCAATATTAGCCTCCTAAATTGTTTAAATTGTCGCACAATCTTTTTCTTGGTCTGCCAATACTTCTTCATCCATTTGGTGAATTATCTTGTGCTATTTGTACGATTCCAACCTCTACCATTCTACTGATGTGTTAGTTTTACTCCTGTTTTCGTTTTGTCACCCATCCATTTATGTTTTCTATATTGCATGCTTTTCTTATGTTTTCGCTTCTATCCCTATCCAACAGACTTTTTCCTGATATTCGTCGGAGTATTTTCATCTCTGTTGTTTCTAGCAATCGTCTCGTTTTAGATGGTCTAATATAGGTCTAATAGGTTTACTTGCTTTTAAGATTTGTTGTCGTATTTCTTCTTCAACATCTCCGTACCTAGTTATATCTATTCCCAGATATCTAAACCTTGCTTTCTGCTTTATTATTTACTCCTTAATTTAATTGAATGATTTCTTAATATTTTTAGAAATAAAAAGAGAACTTACCTGTTTCGGAATAGAGTAGTTCATGTACTTCAACTCTAGTGAACAATACAATGATGCTTTGATCAGGTACTCCGCTTATTGTCCTGTAAGAAAGAAATGTGCAATATAATTTCCATACATTACTTCAAAGCCAGCTAATATTTTAACCTAAAAATATAACCCTATAAATCAGGTAGTTTCTTTTAGATGTATTAAGGTACGCGCGCACTTAAACGAACCGGCCGGCCACAAAATGTACAGCTACAGTCCCGAATTAAATGCCGTAAAAGCACATATATTTTGATACAGAAAAAGAAGAGAAATAAAGAATTAAGAAAAAGTAAAGCAATGTGGGGAGTCAGGGGAAAAAATAATCCACAAAAATCCACAAAAACCGTTTTCATGGAATCTTAATTTATATTTTACAAATATTTTATTTGCGAAACATCATAGAAAAAATTGAGTGTGCCGGCATAAACCGGGAACGTTCTTTCCTCAGTACCCCCAAGCTTTTGCGTCACAAAATGTTTCTTCTTCTGAACTCCCTCATGTTCAGTACCTTGTAAATCAGTGTAGAACTTCCTAGAGTTTTACGGTTTTCAAATATTTGGTCAAGTGGAGAAGACCTTGGAACTTAGCAGCTTTGACCGAAAGTGGGCCATTGTATAAAGCTTTAGATAATTGTGGCTAGTAACTTCCTTCTTTTCTTCTTCTTTTCAGTAGCCTGTTCGATTACAGAACGTTGCCGATCATAGTGTCGATAATAACTTTACTTTAATCACAAAATACTGCACCTGACTATGATGGTTCTTCCCCCGTACATCGTTTTCATTTAACATTTGTAATTAAAGGACTGGAAATGTTTTTTCCTTTTACTCTGTACCATCCGAAATCACTATGTACTCATCACTAGAAAACTTCGTCATCTCAATTTCGACCAAAAGTGGACTATGATTGTTTTCCCTCTGACTCCTCATATAAAAACAGCAAAATTGCTTTTGGATTTTTTAAGCACAGTAAAAAGAATTCACATGACTTGGCAACTGACTGCTGGAAACTTTTTAGTGGTGATGTGTATAAATCTTCGTCTTCTTCTTCACTGGCTTAACAACGTAAGTCTTCGCCACATCCACTATCACCCTCCATCCTCTACGATCTTGCGCTTCTATTTCACATTGTTGTACCCCAATTCTAGATAAATCGGCTTTAACATCATCCTTCTTTTTTTTCTCTCGGTCGGCCTACTGATCTTCTACCATCTGGTCTTTCATAAAACACTGTCTTTAACACTCTGCCATCCTCTGATCGTACCATATGATCTGCCCATCTTATTGTCTAATCTATGTTTTCGGTTCCATACAGAGTCACCAATTCAGCATTGCGGCGTCTTCTCCAGTCCCCTGTGAATTCATATCTTTGAGGGCCAAATAATATTCTGAGAACCTTTCTTTCAAATACTGGAGGCTTATTGATTTCTCGCTGGGTGAGAGTCCATGTTTAAACTGTCATATATAATAATTGGGAGAATAATCGACTTGTACAGTGTTAATTTAAATTATCTTTTTAGCAGCTTCGATCTTAAGAATGTTGAAAGGGAGTATAATGCTCTATTTCCCGCAGCTATCCTTGCTGAGACCTCTTTTCTATGTGGTTGTCAGCTGTGATTATCTCCCCCAGGTATTTAAACTTCTTTACTATTTCAAAATTGTGATCATTAATACTGATGTTCTGCTTAACTCTTGGTCTTGTATTTTTGGTTACTACCATGTTTTTCATCTTTTCTTCATTTATTCGCAGACCCAGACTACCTGTTTCCTCCTCGAGCTGTGAAAACACTCTCTCACGTCTCTTGTAGAATGCCTGACTGCATCTATATCATCAGCAAAGGCTAGCAATAGTTTTTATCCTTGATTAGCAAATCCTCCTGTCAGCTTAGACGATATTTTATTTATTGCATATTCTATTTTTTTTAATATATAAACATAAAAAACTTACGTTATTACCATCTTGTTAGTTTCCGGAAGCCATTCTGCTTCGCTATAGAAGTAGTTCCCTTTTTGGTAATTAAAGCTGTACATATCGTCTTTGTATAGACGACCTTTAGCTGAATTTCTCTAAAAACCAAAAATAAGTTCATAGTCTTACTAGGATGTAGCACACTAGACTAAAATATCTATCTTTTATTTACTTACCCTATCGACGCTGACATATATCGTATAGAAGTCATCCTTGGCCGCAACTGCTGATTTTCTGGGAGTATCAAGATTGAAAATGATGCTTCCAGCTCTATAGAACACTGGCGACTAAAAAATTGAATGGAATTTTATACGTTATTAGAGAATCATCTATAGAAAACATATACAGCGAAGGGGTAAACGAAGGAATAGAGTGTGATAAAACATAGATGGCATAGTATTTTATCCAAGTATTTTAAAACAGCGATAAAAAGAATAAAAGGTGAGTTGTACATTGATTTGGTTTGTGTTTGCTGGCGTTTATCAGAATCTCTTTACGTATAATTGCTAAGACATATTTTCCCGGTTGTTAATAAAATATCAATTACTTACGCTGTCGATGTCTACTTCCACTTGTTCTACTAGTCCAGCTCTAAATTGGGAGAATTGGTATTGATCAGCTCTATACCAGAAGTCGGTATTTTTGTCGAAGGGATCAATGTTAGAGTAGCCACCAGGAAATAGACTTCCACCGATTTTACATCAGGTTTGGTAACAGCAACTGACATAGATATTAGCACCTAAAGAATAATGAATTTAGTACCAGAATTGAGAGTTTTTGGAGATAACTGATCAAAAAAGATGTAAATATGGTCGTAACCATATGGTTCGAATTACCAATCATTGTTTGAGTATCTCTGTCATTAATTCCTGGGTATTGATAGTAAAGTGGACTGATAATAGGATCTCCTGTAACTGTGTGTTCGTAGAAGAGGGTGTAGATAGTTGGAATATGTCGATAACGTAGTCTTAAAGCATTTCTGATTACATCTTGAACTTCTTTGGGAAATAAATACGGTTCCCGTCTTTTGCTCATTGTGTCGGAGTGCCCTCTGAAGAAAGGAGTCCACACTGCTCCCTAGAATTTTTTTGTCAATTTTAAACAGTTTCTTATCGAGTTAAATATATATTTGCCAATATTTACCTGATACCATCTTTGTAAAAGTTCATCAGATGGATCACCAATAAAACCTCCGATATCAGCTCCACAGAATACCATTCCCAGCACATTGGCGTTCATGCATTCCGAAATGGAGTTGGCAAAGTGTTCCCAGGTGGAATTATTATCACCGGTCCACATGGCGGCATATCTTTGGGATCCCGCGAAGTTGGACCTGGTTAAAACGAAAGGACGCTTTTCATTTTTGTCCCTGTCCATTAGACCTTTATGGTAGATTTGACCTAAAGTTAGAAAAATAAATGTAATAATATTTGCTCAAAGATATCTTTAAAAAAAATTTTACTTACATGAAGAAGACCATAGATATTATGAATATCTCCATGTTCAACTCCTCCATAATGCTGTACCTCCCATGGCATGGTCATTTCGGAACTATCATTAAATACTGAAGGTTCATTCATGTCGTTCCATATTCCAGCCAGAGTTGGAGTACTACCATTGAACTTTTCAAAAGAAAACCATGTTGAGTAATAATCAGCGGCCTCAGGGTTCAAATAGTCGATCCAGCTGGATGCTCCAGGCCAAGAATAATCTAGACATATAGAGAAATGTAAAATTTATGATACATGGATAATTTATTTTCAAATCCTACCAACGTATTCATTTCCGTTTGCCCATTTGGTGAAATATTTGCCCTTAGCTCCTGCATAAACGTCATAATCATCGTCGACTTTGATGTGGGGATCTGAAATTGAGACGCAGACTCTACCAGTAGCAGAAATATTTTGTTGTAGCTCAACGGGATCGGGGAATGTGGTGTGGTTCCAGTGAAACCATTTGTAGCCATCTGTGTGGTCACCGTCTAACCAAATAGCGTCAAAGGGGATATCGTTTTCGTCCATGCGAGCTACTACGTCTTTTACGTCATCTTGAGATCTGTAGGAAAACCTGCACTGGTGGTACCCTAGTGCCCAAATCTAAAAATTTATCATGTATTTTTATAACAACAATTCTTTTATTGTTCTGTATGAATTTATCGTGAGTGGTTGATTTAGATAAAGCATTTGGTCTTAAATGAAAATTTCTGTTATTTTTCAATTAAATTTTATATAAAGTACCTGAGGTAAATGGGCTTTGCCTGTTAGTCCCGTGAACTGCCTAACGATTTCTTTGGGGGTAGGTCCTAGAAGGATAAATAGGTCAAATGCTGCTCTCTCCACGATGAAATAAACTGATGGGTCTTTGTCGTCTGATCCAGAAGAAGTGTCTATCCATTGTTCAGCTGCGTTGTGCAGGAATATTCCAGAAGTTTTATTTTTACTAAAACACCACATAATTAATTAGTTCAATATACATCTATACCTCGGAAGGATACAACACTATGTCCATTTTTTTCAATTTTCAAATTTTTTTTTTCACTAATAATCAACTTTTATCACTTTATTTAAAAAGAATGGAGCACTAATTCCTAAACCATTTGCTGATTAAAATAGTGACTTTTAAAAGAAGACCAAGTCCTTTTTCACTTAGAGGTATAGAGCACAGACTGTTTTGCTCCTCTGCACATGTAAATTACCCCCGCACGTAGTGTTGTTTATGGTTATTATATTAATAACAATAATGTACTATAATTCTCGTGGGAGAAAGATTCTTGAACTACTAAAAAGTTCTGCGAATTCTTCTACTGAGTTTACAGGTAAGCTACCTTTTTTGCTTATTATTTTTAAATTATTAAAAAAAAACCTCAAAAATTTAATGTAGTGATTTAGAACCAACCTTAGACTTGCAATATTATAAAATATATTTTACAATAAATACAACCAAACAATGCAAATATTGTAATTAATATACAAATCATAAAAGAACTGTTTCTATTTTCCTTTTTTTACCTAGTTTATACATTCTAAGGACAGGTTCATTATCGACCAATCACAAAAAGCTGTAATTTTTAACGTCCAACCTTCAAACTATTCATTCAACCAAATACTTGCATGAATCACATACTTGGTTTTAATTAGTTGACAACAAAACATATAGAAAGCATTATAGACGATATCAGCAAGTAATTGGTCAAGTAAATAACCAATTACCTGCTGTAAATTGACTCATTTAAATGAAACAGGTGGTTCATATAATGAATCGTCATCACTCAGAAGTTTCTACTAGGGGATCTCAGAATTTCTATTTTAACGCCCAAGGACTGACAGCAGTTAGTCAGACCAAACTCAATGAAATATACCGTACATAATATGGAACTAAAAGATTTAAAAAAATTGTAGGTTTTTGTATGCTATCAAAACATCTCAAAATCCGCCTTTGATTAATCAGTTAAACTGTGTTTAACTGCAAGTAAAACAAAACAGCATGGGAATTCTGTTATTGAAAAGTAATTTTCATGATGAAAATTAGGAGATTGGCCTTGTTAAGTTTCAAAGGCGACACCTTACATCGCCAAAAAATTTGCTACTGGTATCATAAAGTCCAATACCTATATCATAAAAGGATAATGAATTATTGGTATTATTGCTATGTGTTCCTAAATTTTGCCATGATTTCTATAGAAACTCAAAGCATACTAATATAGTGATTATCCAGAAGGAGACTTACATGAGGATGACTGAGTTGTTTATAAGTAAAATACCATTTTGGTTAAATAAATAGATGTATTATTTATATTTTCAATTGAAAACGCAGAAATTAAGCGGAGAATGGGAGTGCAATCAGACATAATCGACTATATAGAGGAGAAGAGACTATCCTGGTACGGCCACGTCAGAAGAGCGGACAGAGGACGCTGGATAAACAAAATCACAGAATGGAGCCCGATCGGAAGAAGAAGAGAGGAAGACCCCGAAGGTCATTCAGAGACGAAATCGACGAGGCTATGGAGAAAAGAACCCTGCGAGATGGAGACTGGAATAACAGGGAAAAATTGGAGGAAAAACGGTTGAGTGAAGTAGAACAGTCAAAACTGTGGAAAGCATTAGTAGTAGTATTATTTATATTTGTAAATTTGAATTGCATGGTTAAATAAATTTTGTATGGTCAAATAGCATTGTAGTTGTTATTAAATACCCCAAACTAAGTCTTACATTAGAATAACTTAATTAGAGGATACGACACCATGGCCATTAAGACGGTTAAAAAACACAGAAAATATTTGTTTTTTAATTATAACATATGTATTATGTAGATAACAATAGATATAAAATTCTATATAAATATATATTCTATATAAATTCTATAATATATTCTATATATATTCTATATAATATATTATATATATATATTCTATATAAATAGATAATATATTCTGTTAAAATATTGTTTTAATATCTCAATAAATAGCTGCAGCAATAACACTTTTTGGTGAAAAAAAGCTTAAAACTGATCTCCTGTAAAGTTATGAAAATGGATATACTGTTGTATCCTTCCGAGGTATGGATATTATTATAATAATTATGAATTTATGAAGTTTTAATATAACAATCATCTATACTGTAGTACAGATGGATTATCTATTAAAATTTTCTCAAATCTACCGCATAATGTTTTAGGACGTCATGGTCTCGCTAGTAAATGATTCCTTGAAAAAGGTACATTCCCTAACTGCCTAAAGACTGCCATCGTCATTCCTCTTCATAAAGTGGAGAAAAATCTGATGCCTGCAACTATAGACCTATTGCCTTGTTACAGCACTATCAAAAATTATTGAAAGACTTATAAAAGTTCGACTTATGCCCTTTCTCCTTAAATATAATATTTTATCGCAAAATCAGTTCGGCTTTTTGTCTAATAAATGTACTAGTGATGCCATATTTTCTGTGTTACATGATGTATATCTATCACTAAATAGTAACCTCTCCTCCGCCACCGTTTTCTGCGACTATTCCAAAGCCTTTGACTGCGTAATCACGACATTCTATTAAAAAAATTAACTTTCTATGGAATTCGGGGTGTGTCTTTGAACTGGTTCAAAACTTACTTGGTAGGTAGGACACAATTGGTTAGAATAAATGACACCGACTCTAGTTGTAAAGATATTGAGTGTGGGAGTACCGCAAGGTTCAGTATTAGGTCCCATTCTTTTTTTACTTTTCATTAATGACATCACTTACTTGAAAATTAAAGGGAAAATTTTCATATTTGCTGATGATACCAGTATTGCTTGGAGCAGCTCTGATATTTCAACGCTTCATTCAATTATAACCGATGATTTACTTATAATCAAGGCTTGGTCAGACTCCAACTTACTTAGCTTTAACGTGGATAAGACTGTAGCATTATCTTATAAAGGAGTCATGCAACCCTTGCTTTTGAATGAGAGCCAAATCAATATCGTAAATTCCGTGAAATTTCTAGGTATTCTCATTGACAGTGATCTCAAATGGTCCTTGCATACTGACTCCTTAAGGAAGAAAACTAGCCTCAGCTTGCTTTGCAATAAGATCTGTTTCGAAGGAACTAAATTTATCTTCTGCCAAAATGGCATATTTCTCATTGTTCGAGTCCCATCTTCGATATGGGCTTCCATTTTGGGGTTTTAGTACAGCGGCCCAATTTGATACTATTTTTAAGTTGCAAAAAAGAGCAATCCGTTATCTATTTGGTCTCAAACAAACAACTCATTGCAAGACCTACTTCAAAAATCACGGAATTTTGACGCTTCCCTCTTTATTTATTTTGGAAACGGTTTGTTTGATTCGAAAGCATCTAAACATTTTTCCCGATAGACCTGACCATGGCTACTCCATTAGAAATTCGGATTGTAACGTTTATTTGCCGATCCCGTCCACTCAGCTAGTAAAGAATTCTATTCTATATCGTGCAAAGAAACTTTATAATCACCTTCCAAGAGAAATTAAATCCGCAACATCCTTCATTAAGTTTCGTAAGGTGACAAAAATCTATCTCTCAGAAAGACCATATTATTTAGTTGACGAGTTTCTTAATGTATAACAAAGAAACAAAATTAGTATTGTTTATAATTACATTTGGGTGTCTCAAGCAGTGGCTACAATTTGTCTCATTTGTTGTTGTCTGTACAAATTATGTAGGTTATACAATAATTTTACTAATTTATAATTGTGTTATTCTGTTTTTTACTATATTGTTTTTGTTTTATGCTTTTTGTATTATTTGACTGATTTATTTTTTAGCTTTGTCCATAAAATTGTTCAATAATTTTCAGTGACAATAAAGCATATTTCTATTTCTATTCTATTCTAATCAACTCGATACTTACGAATGCCCATACACCACTGGTCTGGCTCCATAAAGAGCCACTGGTGAGTTGGCGTCATAGCCCCAATGATCAGAATTTCTGAGACGGAGCGGATCTCCAGATTCAGCGGTACCGTTGTTCGTATCGCCCAACGCCAAATTCATCGCGTGGTCCATTAGACCATATAGTCTATCCGCTTCAGGGAAGTCCGCTTTGAAAGTAAATGCTTTACTTTCGTCTGTCTGAAAAACAAACAAATTTTATTCTATTTACATATATTTATATAAGAAATTGACATGTTTTTTGCGTAGTTAAGACAAAACTTTGGATTTATGTTTCTTTTTATACCTATTAGTATTTTTTGACTTTTTAATATACTAAACAGCTTACTGATTTTGATTTTTTCTAGTTATGGCTTCTTTAAAGTTTTCTTTTTTCTTTACATTTTAGTTTTTTTTTGACAGAAAACCACTATCAAAGCTTAATAATAAAAAAATAAACCTACGTTCTCAACTACTAATCTTTCGCCATCCAAAATAACTTGTTTGTATTCCTGGTGGTAGAAGGTTACAGTTAGGGGTGGTCCAGCAGCAATAACCACTTCGTAATGGAAAGAATCATTTTGAGGTGTCACGATTAGGTTGTCATCTTTAGTTTCACTTTCCAGTCTACGAAATTAATGACAGATAAGGACAACTCAGGAAATAAGAGCTTTATAGTTTTGTTAAATACTACGATAGTACATTTTATCAACGGCAAACAACTAATACAACTTAAACTTAATAGTTTTTGTAGTGAATATAAAAATAATCAACCATATCATGAACTTACGGTAACTCTTTCAGTTCTTCAATGATGACGATATCTCCAAGTTCAAATCTTTTGCTATTTGGGTCCTCAACTTTAACCCTTATTTTGTTGCCTTCGAACATGGAGAGCAGCAGATTTAAGTTGTCGCCATTTTCGTTCTTTAAAGGTACCGTCAATATGTTGTCCTTGATAGATGAAGAATGAACATCGGCTGAGTATTTGGATTTATCATCAACGACATAGTTACGGAGACGTCTGAAATATCGTTGTAAATAAGAAAAAGTTGCACGAGGAAATTTGTTGTACTTACTTGCAAAATGGTCGTTCTGAACATTTTTTGAAGACAGGGTTGTCAGCGGCTGTGGCTGTGGATGCCAAAATAGCTAGTAGTATGGCGTACCTGCAGATATAAAATTATCTCGGTTAGTTATCGGTTCAAAAGTGTGTTTAAATTAAAAATATATGTTTTTGTATTTTTTTTGTTTTCTTATTCTTATATCTTATATCTTATATCTTATTTTGTCAATAGTTGTTAAAGGGTGTGTTCTTTTTAAATACTGCATTTCCACTATTCCACTGCTATTTTAACGCATTCTTCATCATACAAATTCCTTTTTGCTTTCGTTTGGCTCTTTTGTAAAATAATTTTATCATTTCCTACAGTAACTGCCTGTCTTGTAGTTTGCCAAATTTGCTCTATTCTTAGTTTCTCTTCGTCTTTCCGAGATATCATATCGATTTTTTCTCCTTGAATTTGATTTTGTCATTTCTTTATTTTTTTGCACCATTTCACATATAGCTCTAAAAAGAAAATGGTGTGAATCCATTTCATCTTCTTTCATATTTCTTCTGGTTAACCGTCCATCAGTTAGGAAACATCCAGGTTCCTGATGTATTTTTTTCGTTCTACACTACCACTCGTAGTTCTCACTACCATATTTTTTCCATGGCAAAACTGATTAGTCTTAGACCATTATCATTTGTCACTTCGTGCTTGCTATATATTCCGGCTACTATGTTATACATAGCACCTTTTCCCAGTTTTGCATTGCAATCACCGATGCTATTTTTATACATATTTTGGTAGATGCTCATAGTGATCCGTCAGTTGCTCGTAGAATAGGTCTTTTTTTTATCATCTTTTTTCTCGGATTGGACGTGTATGTTAATTATACTTATATTCCTTTTTCTCCCCATATCCCAAACTGTCCAATTACTGCTTAAAACTATTTAATAGTGAGTTATCAAAAATATTCGAAAGTTCCATTTTCTCCTATGGGTAACATTTTGAAACAAAATTAATGCAATAATGCAAGTCATTCATGATTTCAATTTTTTTTTATTAATTTTGCTTCAACCACTTAGGGTTTATTAGCACAAGAAAATATAAAAAGTAATGAAGACACACATAGGCATATACAAAATATCAATTACATAATAAAGTATACAACATTATATTTTAATAATTGATGTATTGTATTAAATTTTATTAAAAAAGTTTATAGATTTCAAGAATTCTATCAAGTCAGCTACGTATTGGATTCTCCTAGAAGTTCTTCTCATGTTTTTGGAATGTGGTGATATAGTCTTTCAACTGAGTATATTGGACAGTCAATCCAAATGTGCTTCACTGACACTTTACATTTACAAACAAAACACACTGGTTCATCTCTTCTCTTCAACAAGTATTCATGTGTTGTATAAGTATATCTTAATCTAAGATGTGTTATTAGGACTTGATGTTGTCGCTTTGAAGGCCCATTTGAAGGAAGTTCCATGGAAGGACGGAAGATTTTATTTCTATCAATTTAGTGGTGCCTCTTTTCCATTGGTTTTGCCAAACATCATGCAATTTTGCTTTTAAATAAGGTTTTAAATTTTAGGTACCGTTAGATTTTGGACTAATGCGTAACTGTACTGGTTACTGAGCCCCTAGCTAGACTATCTGCCTTTTTATTACCATCTATTCCAACGTGTAATGGTACCCAGAAAACCTCTACTGTTAAATTGTTTTGGTATATACAGTATAAAATTAACTTAATCTGCTGTAAAGTTGGATGAGAGGGATAAAACTGAGAAATTGATGTCAGAAAACTAAGTAATTTTTTTTCTAGAATAATGCTTAGTTTCTTAATTATGGCAAATCATCATCATCATCAGTGGCAGTTACAGCTGGTTATGAGCCAAAGCCTTCTTCACAACAATCTCCCATTCGCCCCTGTCTCTGACAACTCTTGTCCATGCCTTAACTCCTATCGATTTTAGATCATCCTCTATGTTATTTTGATACCTAAGTTTTGGTTTTTCTCTGTATCGTCTTCTCACTGGTCCTCTTTGGTCGAAAGTTTTTCTGATCGTTGCATCTTCATCTCGCCTCATTATATGTCCTATCCATCCAATTATGGCAAATCGTTCTGCTATAAAAATACTTGTCTCAGGAGAATTTATTGATGGAATGTTCATGTGATATCACATGAACAGAAAGCATGCTTCTACTCCACTTATGGTCTTAGATGCGTCCGTGTATATAAAATGGCAATTTTTGTACTGTGTGAGAACATGGAGAAAGTGAGTTTTAAAAAATTGGGTATCACGTTATTTTTGTTATATGCTGTAAGTTTAAGGTTACAAAGCAGAGAGGGAGGTAGTTTAATATTGAAATCTAATAAATATTTATAAGGTCGTTCATGGAAAGATACAATACCCCTATTTCTTTTTTGATAGACTTCATGGAACCTGTTAGCAACAGCATGATGAAGAGCTGGATTTTTTGGGTTAGATGTTATATTTGAGACATACGATACAGTTAAGTATTTTCTTCTTAGATTTAAGGGTGGCTCTCCAGCTTCACAGAGTAGACTGTCCACAGCACTGGTGCATTACGCTATGAGAGCAAGTCTAACGGTTGAACTCTGAAGAGTATCTCAAGTTTTGAGCAATGCTTGGTTTGCAGAGCTATACACACCACATCCGTAGTCCAGTTTTGATCTAATTAAAGCTCTATATAAATTTATTAGAGTTGAAAAAATTGCTCCCCAATTTTTATGTGGTAGTACAGATTTCAGTCCAGATAGGCACGATAGTCTTAGCGAGTGTATATGACTTGTTTAGCTTAATTTTCAGTCCCTTTGCATCCCTAGAAATTGTATTTCTTTTGTATATTTCATGGGAGAATTGTATAAAAATAGATTTGGGAGCTTTTGTGGATTTGATTTTTGAAAAAAATGTATAGCTTTTGTTTTTGTTGTGGAAAACTGGAGCCCAATATTGTTAGACCACAATTCTATCGACTTAATCGACTTAAGAGCTGCAGCAATACGATCATAAAAGCAGATAATATGTTTTTTTCTTGTTAGAATTACCAGATCATCAGCGTATACAAAAGTTTTAATTGTGCCATTGCAGTACGACACAAATTTGTTAATAGCTATAAAAAATAGCTCTACGCTTAGATTGGAGCCCTGTGGAATTCCATTTTTCTGCTTCGTGAATTTCTGATTCCAATGATATTAAGTTATCTAATGTTAATCTAATTTTTCTAAATCCACTTTGTTCGGGTATAATAAGTTGTTTATGTTCAATATACCACATGAGTTGATTGACAATGACCTTTTCTAGCAACTTACACATTGCATTCGTGAGAGAGATTGGTTTATAGGATTCTGCTTCAAATTTAGGTTTACCTGGTTTGTATATTGGAATTATGATTGACTAGTGCCATATGTGTGAGAATATCTTATTGATCCATATACATTTGAAAAGTTTCAATAATATTTCTTGGCCTAATTTCTATTTTTCTTTTATGTAATTTATATTAAGTATGTTTACGTTTCTAAATAAGCCTAGTGTTTTATAAACAGGATTTAATTTTTTTACTAAATTTTTTTCGCCAAATTCTATCTATTTCTTTTTTTTATTTGTTCTGCTTTTTTATTCCGTTATTTATGTATATTTTCCATTTATTTTTCTTAAGTTTTATTTTATTTCTACTTCTATTTTACTTTTTATTCTATTATTGAATTCGCCGTTTCTATCAAATTTTGCTTCCATTACTATGTTGTATTGTTCTTCTAATTTTTCCCTGTTATTTTGTATATTTTTAAATTTTCTCGTTTAATCTCGTTTAACTTGGCTTGTTCTTATTTTTTATTGTTAGATTTGAGTTATTCATAAAATTGACCACTACTTTTTTCTGAGTAACTTACTTCTTTTTCTTTAAGTGCTGTCTTCCAATCGGAGATTGGATATCATCATTACTATCTTTACTTTATCTACTACTGCTCTAAAGACTTCTATAGAACTGCATTTAAACCAGTCCTTTAAATTCTTCAACCGTGACACTCTCCTCCTCCTATACTCCTTCCTCCTCTTATCTTTCTCTGTATTATCAGCCTTAGCAGTTCTTATCGCTGTCCCCTTATTACGTGTCCCAGATATTGTAACTTTCTTATTTTTATTGTGTTTATTACTTCGCATTATTTACCCATATCTCGCAATACTTCCCTGTAAGTTTTCTTCTGTGTCCATGCTATTTTAAGCATCTTCCTGTAACATCACATTTCAAAGGACTGTAACTTATTTATGTGTCCTTGCTTCAATGTCCAGCTTTCAAGTCCATATTGTAGAGTAACTTACTAAGTATGGTAATATATTTTTGTGATAATAAAGTTGTTGCTATGGGCAAGAATTGTCAATTTAAAAACATTACAAAATAAACAATACTCACTTTATCATCACTACCATAAGAAGTACACCACTTATGGTTTACTGGCATTGATTCTACCTATAAATACAATTATGACTACCTCTTATCCTATTGTTATAATTATCATCAAGTACTTGACTTTTATCACGATATTAAGAAGATTAGATGATGAAAAACAATATTTTATCACAAAGCCAGTTCGGCTTTTTATCTAATAATTGTACCAGCGATGCTATGTTTTCTGTACTAAATTAGGTCTAAGCACTAAACAATTATCTTTATACTGCCACTGTTCTTGTGACTATGTCAAAGCTTTTGATTGTGTAAATCACGACATTTTGATAAAAAAAATTAAATTTCTACGGAATTTGAGGCATTTCTTTGAATTGGCTTCAATCTTACTTAAAATATAAGGGAAATAGCAAACAGCTAGTTAAAGCTGAATGAAACGGAATAATAAGGTCTTTCAAATATATATGCTTTTATCAATTTACGGAACTAAAGGAAAGAACTTAGAAAATTAAGGCAATTATATCGAGCACAAGTAGAATTAAATCTTGCCCAAGTACTTTCGCTTAATATAGCATCTTCAGCTGCATTTCATCAAATATGGGCTATCCAGTAAGCGTAGAATGTAATAAACATAGATGGTAACATAAAATTGTATAAACACTACACAAGAACAAGGACAAACAGTTTAAAATTAATAAAAAAGTTCTACGCTACATTCTTTGGCAGTAACAGGAGAGAGAATTTCCCCCGAAATTGCGCCCAATTAGTTTGGATTTGTGAACGCTGATAAGTGTTAATGGATTTGTGTTAGCTGTAATATATTGCATGCCTGATTGACTACAAGAATACTTTCGATAGGGTGAGGCATGAACAAATGATGGAAGCGCTGAAAAGGACAGATGGAGAATATCCTGGCTTGCTAACCTGAGAGCATGATATAGAAAGACCTCAACACAGCTATTCCGTATAGCAACCAACAAAGTCATTATAGACAGATATTATTTGAATTTTTCACTTTTCGTTTAAAGTCTATATCTTGTTAATTATTTGTCAAGCATTTTTTAATTTAACCTGCTTGGAGTAAATATATGATGACTAGAAACGAATTGAGAGTAGTGAACCGATACCAAGAACTGCTATTCTATCACGCTACCCGTGACGAGGCCATCTTGTGGCGCTAGTTTCGTGACGCTCGCCTCAGCATTTTACTGAGAAAAAAATAATACAACGCACGTACAGAAGCTTCGCTTCAAAAACATTTTAAAATAAAACGGCTTAATTTTTAGAATTTTTATGGTAAAACATAAAAAAAGCTCATATAATATTGGCAAAATATTACATTAAATTAAAAACTAAGTTCTAAGGTTCCATTGCCCTCTCTCAATGCTTTTACTATATCAATTTCATGAAGAGGAGTTCCACCTGCAGTCTTCGTAAACATTGTTTTCTTGATTTGCAGTTCACCTAAAAAATAATGAAGATTAATAAAAACAATTAGGCAACTTTTTACGTTTTGATTGAATAAATAAATACATCTTTGATTTGAAAGTATTTCAAAACAGAAAGTGTCATTTTAGATAATATTTTGGTTGTTGGGAGCACTAGAAAGAAAAGTCTAAGTCTCTCTCTGCAGTCCTGACCATCCGCATGGACTGTGGTGGTCAAAGATCTCCGTCTCTAGTCATTCTTTTTAACTCATGCATAAGTCTTTTGCATTTTTCGGTAATTTGGTCGACCTATCTTGTTGGGATCTTCCTCGTGATCTTGGCTCTCACTAGAGGGCTAGAAGCCAGGAATAACCTGTTCTTTCTGTCTAGACACGACAGCTTAATACATTAAATATCGTTGTCTATGTGCATTTATGTTGTTTTATTTCATCAAATCTCCCTTTAAGGTTTGCTTTGATATACATTGAATAATTGACTTTGTTGTTATATTAAAGTTATTTCAATCTAGTTTTTAAATATAAATCTCAATACAGTCCTCTATAAAGACGAAACACAAGCTTTTTAAATATGCGAGTGATTGCTTAAACCGTTTTGGTGACTTGGAATCTCCCTATTTGATTCTTCGGTTTATTTTAACGGTTCTTAAAAATAAAAGCAGAACTTACCTGTTTCTGTAGAAAGTAGTTCATGTACTACAACTCTAGTGAAAAATATGATCATACTTTGATCAGGTACTCCGCTTATTGTCCTGTAAAAGAGAAATAATTTTTATATATAACTTGAACAATCTTTTAATCCTAAAGTAACAGCGTATCAAGTACTGCGTGGACTTTGTGGCCTGTGTGGTACTTTGGGTACTACATGTACCAAAACTAAAGACACTTAATTATTTATGCTAAACTGTGAGTTATGTCTCAAAGATGTCTTGACATAAATCAAGATGTATTCATGTGTTTCATAGATTACAACAAGGCCTTTGATAAAGTGCGGCATGATCACCTAATCAGACTCCTGACAGAAAAGAATTTAGATAAATGAGACATTGGACTAATAGCAAATATGTACTACAATTAGAAAGCAGTAGTGAGAGTAGAGAATAATGCCACTGAAGAAATTGAAATAAAGCGAGGTGTGAGACAAGGGTGTATACTGTCACCAACCCTGTTTAATCTCTATTCCGAAGACGTAATGAATAGAATACTCTCTGAGCAATCCGTAGGTATTAAAATAAATGATGTTAGATTAAACAATCTGAGATTTGCCGACGACACCGTTCTGATCGCAGAAACACTTGAAGAGCTACAGACATTGGTAAATAAGATAGCAGACTGCAGCGAAGAATATGGACTATCTTTGAACATAAAGAAAACTAAATTTATGGTAATATCGAAATCAACACAAAATGTCCAAAATTTATATTTACACAATGAAATTATCGATCGAGTTAGCAAATACAAAAATTTAGGCACTTTTATAAATGAAGACATCGATAGCTCAGCAGAAATCAAAATAAGAATAGAAAAAGCCAGATCCATATTCACTAAAATGAAGAGAGTGTTCTGCGGAAGAGATTTGAGCCTTGAAATGAAACTTCGCCTGATGAGATGTTACGTACTTTCTGTGCTGTTCTACAAAATGGAGTCATGGACGTTGAAAAATATGGATATCGAAAAATTAGAGGCATTTGAACTGTGGATGTATCGCAGAATCCTGAAAATATCATGGACCGAGAGAGTCACAAATGTCGAGGTCTTAAGAAGAATGAATAAAGAAAAGGAAGTCATATTTACGATAAAAAAACGAAACCTGCAATACTTGGGACACATTACAAGAGGAGAAAGATATGAACTGCTTCGAATAATTATGCAAGGGAAAATAGCAAGGAAAAGGTCCATAGGAAGAAGACGAAACTCCTGGCTAAAGAATCTACGGGAATGGTATAGCTGCACTTGGTATAGGAAGATGGCACTTGAAGAAGAAACTTTGAGTCCATATAAATAAACAAGATACAATAAATTACGCCAAGAAATAAAAAAGAAAATCAAAAGCTGAAAAAATGATAGAATGAGAAATACAGTCCAAAAGAATCACTTTTTAGAGAGTTGTTGACGCTTTGTCCAAAACAGGTTTTGGAAAAATATTGTACAGTAAGAAAAAAGTATGAACCCAGAAAAAGTAAGCTTAGAAATATTTTAATCTAGACACAGAGTATCCTCTGATATTCTTTGAAAACAGAGAAAACTAAAAAAGACGAGAACAGCAGACTGAAAGCGTGAGAAAATAGAACAAGCGACATAAATCTAAAATGCAAACTAGAAGAAAGATTGAAGAGAAACGCAGAAAGAAACAGAAGAGGCTAATATGTTATTAGCTAAGAAAATTCGAGAGCAGTAGTCAAAGGACAAATAGCGCACAAAAAGAATTAAAGTATAATAGAGAAATGGTCTTATGACTAGCAGAATCGCACAATGTGGCATCGGACTGATAAAAGGACACCTACTGCCATGGCATGATAAAACTGGACAAAATCTACAAGTTAAATCAAATCAAATTTACGTTTATTATGATGATATTGAAAATTATAGTCCAATAGCAACTAGAGTCTTGATCTGGTTTAGAAGATATTAAAAGCACAAGAAAACTCACTTTATCAGCATCTTTTCAGATTCTGGAACCCATTCGGCTTCACTATAATAGTAGGTCTTCTTTTCGTAGTTGAAGCTGTACAAATCGTCTTTGAATAGACGACCCTTAGCTGAATTCCTCTAAAAAGCAAAAATAATTTAATAGTATTACTACTTTATAGTACTTGGAACTAAAATATCTATTTTTTATATACTTACTCTATCAACGTTGACGTATATCGAGTAGAAGTCATCCTTGGCCTCAACTATTGATTTTCGGGGGGTGTCAAGGTTGAAGATGATGCTTCCAGCTCTGTAGAATACTGGCGACTAAAAATTGAATAGACTTATATAGAACATTAAAAAATAAGATAAAGAAAACATACAAATGTATTTAGCTTTAAGCATCAATTTGTGGAACATGTATTTCTTCTATTAGTATCACATCTTCTTAGGATGTTTTTAATCATCAATCGTTTTAACTTATAGATGTTTATTTACAACGCTATCACCAAGGTTCAATATTGCATGATTTATGTCTAAATTACAGATAATTCGTCAGGCTGTCTTCACTGGAAGTGACTGTAGGTAACAATACAACCTTAGGTTGATAGCACGATACATGATATACCTTCTTCCTTCGATAACAGCAGGTTTCAAATGCTTATCGTTTGCTTTTGTTAAATTTCATGTCTCCATTTTATAAAACAGAGTTTTCTAAAGCCATGTCAGCTGTATCGGTAGATAAAATAATCATAATATTGTTTTTATGACCAGGATTGTGTGTTGTATAAGCTTAAAAATGTACTGGTACCCGCATGCTACACGGTCCTAGTGTTGTTCTCTTTTGCTTTCGTAACAAAAGCTGTAAATAATAATATCTAAAATATATTCGCAGCTCAAAAACTAAAGTTTTGTGTTTGCTTGCGTGTATCAGGATCTTTTTACGTTTAGACGCTTTTCCCATACTTTTAATATAATAGAAATTACTTACGCTATCGATGTCAACTTCGACCTGTTCAACTAGCCCAGCTCTAAATTGGGAGAATTGGTATTTATCAACTCTATACCAGAAGTCGGTGTTTTTGTCAAAGGGATCAGTGTCAGAGTAGCTACCAGGGAAGTAGACTTCAACGGATTTTACACCAGGTTTGGTGACAGCAACTGACATTATATCAGTACCTAAAGCATAATAGATTTAGTATCAGGATGAATAGTTTCTGGATAGAGAAAAACAATAAAAAGTTATAAAAGAGATTACAAAGGAAGTAAATATGATGGTAATAATGTAATACAACTAACCAATCATTGTTTGAGTATCTCTGTCATTAAGTCCTGGATAGTGATAGTATAGTGGGGTGATGATAGGATCTCCTGTAACTGTGTGTTCGAAGAAAAGAGTGTAGATTGTTGGAATATGTCGATAACGTAGTCTTAAAGCATTTCTGATAACATCTTGAACTTCTTTGGAAAATAGATATGGCTCACGTCGTTTGCTCTCTCTGCTGGAGTGTCCTCTAAAGAAAGGAGTCCAAACTGCTCCCTAAACACAAAATTTGTCAGGTTTCTTCTTGGATAACATATATAGCTTTTAATATTTACCTGATACCATCTTTGTAAAAGTTCATCGGATGGATCACCAATAAAACCTCCGATATCAGCTCCACAGAATACCATTCCCAGCATATTGGCGTTCATGCATTCGGAAATTGAGTTGGCAAAATGTTCCCATGTGGCGCTGTTATCACCGGTCCACATAGCAGCGTATCTTTGGGATCCTGCGAAGTTGGATCTGGTTAGAACGAAAGGACGCTTTTGATTTTGGTCCCTGTCCAATAGACCTTTGTGGGTAGATTTGACCTAAAATTAGAAGTTCAATAAATGTTTCAATGGCTTTTAGACAAAAGTTATGATGTGAAAATTTACAACATAGGAATATACTTACATGAAGAAGACCGTAGATATTATGAATATCTCCGTGTTCGACACCTCCATAATGCTGTACTTCCCATGGCATAGTCTTTTCGGTACTATCATCAAATACAGCAGGTTCATTCATGTCATTCCAGATTCCAGCCAACGTTGGAGTACTACCGTTGAATTTTTCAAAAGAAAACCATGTTGAGTAATAATCAGCGGCTTCAGGGTTCAAATAGTCGATCCAGCTAGATGCTCCAGGCCAACAATCAGCTAAACACAAACATAAACATAGATTTTATGACACACCGATAGTATAATTACACAACTTACCAACATATTCACTTCCGTTTGCCCATTTGGTGAAATATTTGCCTTTAGCTCCAGCATATACATCGTAATCATCGTCAACTTTGATGTGGGGATCGGAGATTGAAACGCAGACCCTTCCGGTAGCAGAAATGTTTTGTTGTAGCTCAACGGGATCGGTGTAGGTGGTGTGGTTCCAATGGAACCATTTGTAGTCATCTGTGTGGTCACCGTCTAACCAGATGGCGTCCCAGGGAAATCATTTTCGTCCAAACGAGCTACTACGTCTTTTACGTCGTCTTGGGATTTGTAGGAAAATCTGCACTGGTGGTAACCAAGTGCCCAGATCTAAAAATTTATTAGTTATCTTTACCAATATAAATCATTGATTTAGATACAGTATTTGATCTTTTTATTGTTTAACATTTAATTAAAACTTCTGTGGTAGAATAAAAGATATATAAATTACCTGAGGTAAATGTGCTTTGCCAGTTAGTCCTGTGAACTGCCTAACAATTTCTTTAGGGGAAGGTCCTAGAAGGACAAATAAATCAAATGCTGCTCTCTCTACAATGAAATAAACTGATGGGTCTTTGCCATCTGAGCCAGAAGAAGCGTCTATCCATTGTTCGGCTGCGTTGTGTAGGAAGATACCAGATGTTTTGTTTTCACTGAAATACCATGAGATTGGTTAAATTAATATATTTAAATGTATTATGAAGCTGTGATATATAAATCGCCTGGATACTTACGAATGACCATACACCACTGGTCTGGCTCCATACAGGGCCATTGGTGAATTGGCTTCGTATCCCCAAGAATCAGAATTTCTAAGACGAAGGGGATCTCCAGATTCAGCAGTACCATTGTTGGTGTCTCCCAAAGCCAAATTCCAAGCGTGGTCCAGTAGCCCGTATAGTCTATCAGCTTCAGGGAAGTCTGCTTTGAAAGTAAATGCTTTACTGTCATCGGTCTAGAAAAATAATAAAACAAATTAAGCTGGATTTAGAATACATTAACATATTTTTGGGTAATGTTAAATTAGGTGAACTTACGCTTTCATAGACTAATCTTTCACCATCTAAGACAACTTGTTTCAATCCTTGGTAGTAGAAAGTTATAGTTAGTGGTGGTCCAGCATCAATAATCACTTGATAAGGAATAGTATCGTCTTGAGGAGTTACTAATAGGCTACCATCTGTGCCATCCAAAGTGTCACTTACCAATCTGGAAATGAATGATAGATGGGTAGAAATTAGTAAAGAGGTGTGTAAAATACTACGACAAATAATTGTAATATTTTAATAGTTTTTGTTGTCATTTTGAAAATAGTGTTACAGTAGCCTTGTTACGCTTCTTATCAAACCGGAGAAGCGTTTCAGCTGTAATTACGTTAAAAGAATACCACAGGGTTCTTGAAGTATTTTAAAGAGTAAGGCGAACTATATATAAGGAAATTAGAATTTAAGGAGTTTTGAAGCATAACAATAGTTAATCAAATTAATAACTTACGGTAACTCTTTTAGTTCTTCGATGATGACGATATCTCCAAGTTCAAATCTTTTGCTATTTGGGTCCTCAACTTTAACTCTTATTTTGTTGCCTTTGAACATAGAGAGCAGTAGGTTCAAGTTGTTGCCATTTTCGTTCTTTAAAGGTACCGTCAATATGTTGTCTTTGATAGATGCAGAATAAACATCGGCTGAGTATTTGGATTTATCATCGACCACATAGTTACGGAGTCGTCTGAAATATCGTTGTTAATAAGAAAAAGTTGCACGAGGAAATTTGTTGTACTTACTTGCAAAATGGTCGTTCGGAACAGCTTTTGAAGACTGTTTTGTCAATGGCTGTGGCTGTGGTTGCCAAAATAACCAGTAGTATGGCGTACCTGCAAATATAAAACATATTATTACCCTTACAGAAGCCTTTATTACATAAATAATTTAACAAAAAAATAATTTTGATGGTACACAAGGCAAATATCGAACACAGTAGTTAATCAAATCTTGCCCTCTGCATTAGGGCAAGATTTGATTAACTACTGTGTTCGATATTTGCCTTGTGTACCATCAAAGTTCATTTATTCGAACATTCAACTTTATATTGAAAAAAATAATTATTGTGTTATTGTTGCGTATTCCAGCATTAAACTTTGTTTTATTTTTGTCCAGCAATTTTGTAATCTTTGATTTTATACAAGACTTGGATGCGATCGAAAGCCTTTGTCAGGTCTATAAAACAAAGATATGATGGTGTATTGTACTCGATGGCCTTTTTTGTGATGTGTCTTAGTAATTAGACCCATATTAACAGACACAGTGGCGACAAGAGCTGACATCTAAAACGAGACGTCTACTAGAAACAACAGAGATGAAAATACTCCGACGAGTATCAGGGAAAAGTCTGTTGGAGAGGGAGAGAAGCGAAAACATAAGAAGAGCATACAAACAATATAGAAGACATAAATGGATGGGTGACAAAACGGAAACAGGAGTGAAACGAACACATTCATAGAATGACAGAGGATAGGATAGTACGAATAGCACGAGATAACTCACCAAATGGACGAAGAAGTGTTGGCAGACCATGAAAAATATGGTGCGATAATTTAACAATTTAGGAGGCTAATATTGAAGAAGAAACAGGTTTTAAAGCCTACATACAAGAAGGAAGGAGACGAAGAAGATTTTATATAAGGAAACTCTATTCTAATTTTATTATTTTTGTGAAAATATTCAGATCAAATCTCAAAATATTTATCATAATTATATGCTTCTATAATATATTATAATTATATTCTACATGGGTTAATAATAACAATGACTAAAAAAAAATTTAAATTATTTGCGATAAAAGAATACTCTAATGACAATAACAAAATAATAATATGAAATGGTAACTTCATATGCTGTTGCTATGGGCAATATTGAATGCATCTAAAAGCATTATATAAGTAATAGACAAATACTCACCTAATCATCTCTACCATTCGAAGTACACCACTTATGGTTAACTGACATTGATCCTCGGATATAAATATAAATATAACTACCTCTTATCTTATTTTTGAACTTATCAAACACTTGACATTAATCGGGATAATAAGAAGAGCAGCTGATACTAAACAATAAGAACAACACTACAAAGTATTTTCTAAAAACTTATTAATAAAATGTTTCAGTTAAGTTGCTACTGATATTTTGGTGTTTATACATATATTTCCCAAAGTGGATTTCATTACTCATAAATTATTCTCTACTTTCTGGCCCACTGCACTTTCATACTTTCATTTGCTATTGATTTATTTTTTGATTTTCATAGATATTAACAAAGTCAAAGTCACGTCTCGATCTTACTTTGCACTGTTGTGTAATGCTAATTCTAGATACCAAAAATATCAAAAAATCATGTTTTTCAATTAAACTAACGATATTGTTAAAAAGGTACTGCCAAAGTGTAGTAAGCCTATAATTACTTTAAACCTTTTTTAGGACAAGTAGGACAAGTTTTTTTCAGTCATAATAATTTAAATAAGCTTAACCAGGTTGAATTAAAAACATGGTTTTTCTACAAATCATTTTTGGTGACTTACGTTACTTTGCCAAAAATGTATTGATATAATGTTTTTGCATAAAAAACAATTTTAGTTAGTTTAATTGAGATCGTGCATGAATACTATCAAACTAACATTTATCTTTTGTTCAGTATTGTTTGATATTTCATGATGGAAATACTTAGTCCGGTGTGGCGTCTAGAAATTATTAAGTTGTATTTTGAAATGGGAGTTCTGTGAGGAATGTGTTTCGTGCGCTTAGAGCAATTTATGGTCCACATAATAGGCCTACCGAACGTACAATTCGCTTTACGATTAGTAACTTTGAAACCCAATTTTTAATATTGGATAACACGCTACCAAATAGACCACAACAAAAATTTTTTCAAAAGTTGGTTTTGTTAAATTTACCAACTGTTTTGGTATTCCTAGCTCTTTCATTGCTTTAAACATTTCTCTTCTATTCACAGAGTCATAGGCTGCTTTGTAGTCTAGAAACACGTGATGAGTATCTGTGCCATGTTCCATGTTCTAAAACTTGTTTCAGGGTTGCAATCTGATGAATTGTCTTTTTTTTAACACCTCTGAAACCAGCTTGGTATTTTCCTACTATCCGTTGTGCATATGGTGCAATACGGTGATATAGTACTGCGGAAAACGTTTTATATGCTGCATTTAGAAGCGTTATTCAGCTGTGGTTAGAGCATTCAAAGATATCTTCTATTTATTGTATGGTGCAAAGTATTCCAATATTCAAATCATTAGGAAGGGATTTCTATGTCCATATTTTTTTATCAGCTACGGTAGTGCCATTATGGTATCTTTTTTTTTATTTATTATTTTTTTATTGGCTTTAGGGTAAATACCCACACAGCCAGACACAATTTTTTTAAAAACAGATACAAGGATTACACAGGGATTACACGCTTCTCGCCCAGGGGCCGATCAGGGCATTTTTATAAACATAAAAGGTAGGCCTCGGACAGATAGGTATGCATACATTAAGGAAAGACATAAGGAATTAACAAAGGTGGTTATATTTGTATATTCGTTGTTCTGACGAAAGACAGCAAACAATCGTAAATTTCTTTTTTATCTAAAGCAAGAAGATGCAGTATATTAAATGGGCTTTCAATGTTTAATTTTAAAAGTTTTCTGAAAAGCTCATTAGATTGAGCTCTATATTTTAAACAATCAAAAAAGATGTGGTCAAGATCACCGATTTTATTACAGGCTTCGCAAAGATCACTCTCAAGTATTTTTGTTTTAAATAAATGTGCTGGATAACATGCGTGACCAAACTTCATTCTGCTGATAGTAGTTATACTTTTTCGACTGTAATCGTACTCATTGTACCAAGGTTTTCTCCTTAATTTGGCTTCAAGTCTGCTGTAACGTGTTGGATGTGTAAAGCTGTACTCTTGCCATAAATAGGACCATTTCTTCATCATTCTCTGTTTTGCTATGGTTATTTGTTCGTCTGTAGTTAGTTCGTAATTTATTTGTTTCCCCATTACTATACTTTCTTTGGCAATTTGATCTGCAATTTCATTTTTTGTTATTCCTGCGTGTGCTTTGACCCAGAAGAATTTTTATATATTTATTTTGATCTTGTAATTGTTTAAGTATTGCTTGGATGCTAAAAATAATATCATTAGTTGTTTTTGTGTTTGATTTTAAAGTTTTAAGAACGGAAAGTGAATCGGAAAAGATTATAGCGTTCTGATCCTCTTCCTGATAAACATATTCCAGTGCTTTTAGAATTGCTATTGCCTCAGCTGTGAAAATAGATGTGTTTTTGTTTAACTTATATTTTTTCTGTATACGTTTAGGTATAACGAAAGCGCATTATGGTATCATGACCACCTTTTTTTAGATAGTTCAGCTGGGGGATTATCTATTTAGGGTGATTTGTTTCTGGTTAGTTTTTTAACTGCATCTTTAACTTCAAGAATCGTTAGTGTTTCTCTTTTCTCTCAATTTTTCCCCTTACCCCATCTCTTTCGTCTTCCAGGTTTTCTTCTTCTTCCTCTGTATGTAGAGCCTGGTTAAAGTATTCCACCCATATATTCAATACATCTTTCCTTATTGTCAAAAGGTCGCCATTCTGACTTCTGTATTGTTTTGTAATTGCCTTGAATTCTTTTCTGTTAGGATTTCTGTTAATTCTTAATAGGATTATTATCTTTTCTATAGAAAGATTCTGTACATTTTTTTCTACTAAAATGGTTGTTTTATAAATGATGCAGAATGGATGAAAGGTTTACGTTTTATTACAAATATTGCTCACAAAACATCTTAAAGTTCTAGAAGGAACTTACGCTAAGAATAAAATCTCCTTGAGAGCTTTCCTTAACTAAGCAATTAATACAAACATAAATAGAACTTTCCAAGAAGCAATAAAATATCGATATACTAAGTAAAGATATATTTATTTAAGTACTTAACAAAACAAAAGTATTCTAAAAACATTTTCTATGAACAATAATTGATCCAGACTCTTCGTATTCGGATTTGGAGATCCACATTTGCTGGAACGTCGTCAAGCTTGCCAAAATGCTTCCACCTGTCAAATATAAATTTGTTATTAGCTAATTTGATGTTATCGCCGAACTAAAGTTATCAATAATAAAACATGGAGAGCAATTTTATCTGAAATTAAGAAAAAATGTGATTTTATCTGAAATTTGAAGTGCTATTTCCAAAAATTGCGGTTACTTTGAGATAGAACGTACGCTAAATAGTTTAAAACAAAGTAAGTATTAAAAAGAAGTTGTTATATTAATGTTTCGCGTACAGTTTTGTTCAAGATTTATTTGGAAATATTATCTTTTCAATAATAATGTAGTTAGTTAAGTGGGTACTTTTTTCACGAATAGAAAAATTGCTTTGGGTATCTATATATCTAATGTCGGTTTGTAACGTTCTTCGACGTCTTCCGATTTTCAATTTCCATCTCATTATATCGTTCCATAGATCGTCCTTCAGTTCTCTTTCCCTGATTTCTTTATCAACTCCTTCTCTCCAACTTCTTCTAGGCCTTTCTGGTCTCCGCCTACCTCTTGGTTGTCATTCAAGAATTTGTCTTGGTATTCTATTTTCCAGCATTCTCCTTACGTGTCCATACCATCTCAGTTGTGTCGTTTTCATGTCATCAACAATATTATGTGTAACTCCCATGATTTCTCGGACTCTCTCATGGACTCTCTTGGTTATCTAAGATTGCTAAATCTAAACGTTGCACAGTTCTAGGCAACAGCTAAAATCAAATTAGATATTTTAAACATTATATTAAAGACATGGTAAAGGCGTTGTACTCAGATCGAAAAGAATGCTTCTGCTTCATCTGAATACCTATCCAATTAGATCTAACAATATAAAAGTGAATGCCCCTACATCTGACTAACCGGATAACATAAGTGAAGCATTCTATAATAAATTATCTAAGACCTTCCCAAAAAAGATTTAATTTTGATTAATGACCAATTTCTGTGATCAATGGTTTCATTTCCCCCTATTAGTTGTTTGATTTTTACTTCTTTGTAGTTTCTTTCAAAAATTTTAGTTAATAAATAAGATTATTATATTAATTGACAAGCGTTATAGAAATGGAATCAGGGCATTTAAAACATAAACCGGGAAAAACATCAGTTCTGACCACCATCCTGTTATCGGTAAAATCTCAATTGGAATGAAGAAAATCAAACGCAGAGAGAAGATAAAACGTAGCCTCAAAGAACTTAAAGATACAGCAGTACAGGCAGAGATAGAGAAAATACTCAATACCCAATACTCAATACTGCGGTAGCAGAAGAATGTTCTTCTTCTTCTTCGTCTAGCCATTCACGTCCACATCTGAACATAAGCCTCTTCAAGTCTTCCTTTCTATTGTTTTTTATTGTACGCTACTTGTAGCCAATTTTTCCGGCAGTTCTTTTCAGATCATCTGTCCATCTCATAGGAGGTCTGCCTCTGGGTCTTTTGTGTTGGTATGGTCTCCAGGTTAAAATTGATCTGTGCCATTTGTTTAGATCGCTTCTAGCTACATGTCCAGCGTATTCCCATTTCAACTTTAATGATTTTTGCACCACATCGGTGACTTTGGTTTTCTGTCTTATCCATGTGTTTGTTTTCTTGTCCTTAAGTGATATACCTAGAAGAATCAGTAGAAAGTATTTGGCACACCTTTAAAACAACAATTACAACTATACAAACAGAACAACTACAAGAAAAGCAAAGAATACATGGATGACAGAAGAAATCCTAGAACTGATGGACGTAAGAAGATCTTACAAAAACCGCAATGAAGTAAAATATAAAGAAATCCGGAGAACTATCCGAAACAAAATCAAGAAAGCCTAAGAAGAATGGATGAACAGCAGACATGAGGAACTGAGGGAATTGGCAAAAAAACATGATTATTTTAATGCATACAAAAAGATTAAGGAAGTCACAAAGATGAAAAACAAATTTACTACAACAACTCTAGTAGATGATAAAAACCAAATAATATCTAGCCCAGAAAATGTTGGAAATATATGGGAAAAATACATCGAAGATCTGTTTGATGATGAAAAAAGAGAACCACAAATGAATATAGCACAAGACACAATACTTGATATCTTAACATCGGAAGTTACAAAACAATCAATACGGCAAAGCCACAGAAGCCTCAGGTCCAGATGAGATATATGTAGAGATAATAAAACTTATCAATGAAGAAAATCTTCAATCCTTAACACTACTATTTAACAATATATATACCACTGGAATCTTCCAAGAAGATTGGCTTATATCGACATTTATACTTATAACCAAGAAAAATAAAGCAAATAGATGCTCACAATTCAGATTAATTAGTCTGATGACCCATTTTCTGAAATTCAAAAAATTTAACATTTATCTTACAGATAAGAAATCGCAACATATTTTTACGTGAAAAGACGGGTCCATTTTATTTTATAAATAAATGTTCATCCTTCAGATAACTATCTATCAAATAGGACAATATTCTGGAGGTGAAAAGACGGAACCTTTCATGTAAGAAGTTTATTATTTTATAAATTTAATTTTTAATTCTTTTGAAAATTTTGTTGATCTTAAAAATTAGTTGCGAATTTGGTGATCGGTAAAAAATCTAATACAAAATTCGAGATTTTCGACAAATGAATTGCCAAACTAGAATAACGCTGGTTTTAGGTCGATTTCATAACTCTCCAAAAGTGACTTATTTGTTATAAAAGTTGTATAACAGATTAAAATATTATTCTTTTGGTGTCCTAGCCTTAAATATGAGGAAGACAGGAAAGTGGAGTGATTGTAGATTCAATTGATTGGATTCCCCATCGCATGTGACGGGCAAAATCACTAGTATGTTATAAATATCTTGAATATATCAAAATTTTATCGAGAAAAAACAAAATTAAACGAATGTACTATTACTGTAGTACTTGTACTAAAAGTTGCATAATGACTTGAACGAATAATATACTTTCTCATCACTCACAATAAGCATAAAAGTATTGTTGACCTGTTTATAGTGCTCCAATGATTTTATTCTTAAATTCACGATTATTTTTATGTAAAATATCGTTAAAAGTTGAGTGCTTTTTTACACCTTGATTTTATTATTATTATATTCATTGAATAATGCTAAACTATTAAATTATAGCCAATTTAAAATTTATATTTCTAGAAAATGTTCATTATCATTTTAAAATATGTTCTAAATATTGTCCAATGGTCACTATTTTTGATTTCCCTTTAATATTTTACTGTGTTTCACGTCTCATTTTATTCTATTATTTTTTTTATCGTATCGTTTCACGTCTCATTTTTATCTATTATTTTTTGATAAAAAATCTTCAATATGTTTTTATCTCCTACATGATTTTATACTGCATATTTCTTACACAATAAAAAAATGAACACCTCACCCCAGTATCTATTTAATTGGATGCATTAAAAGAAAACGTACCAGGAATTACTATATAACTAAAAATCTGACATAAACAATAGAAATAATATGATGTACATCGCTATTTGGTGTTTTTGGAATTGGTATAGTGGCTCTGAGAACAACTAGTCAGATTGATTACATTGTAATAGATTCAAGACATTAGCTTGGGCAGCATTCGGTAAACTGAACTATATACTCAGAAATCAACAAATTCAATTACATCTTAGATCTAAAGTTTTTGATGCATGCATTATTCCGATATTAACTTATGCGGCGCAAACATGACAATCACAAAAAGAATATTAATATACTTTAGTCACTCAACACGCGATGGAAAGAGCAATGCTAGATATATCACTTAAGGACAAGAAAACATACACATGGATAAGACAGAAAACCAAAGTCACCGATGTGGTGCAAAAATCATTAAAGTTGAAATGGGAATACGCTGGACATGTAGCTAGGAACGATCTAAACAAATGACACAGATCAATTTTTACCTGGAGACCATACCAACACAAAAGACCCAGGCAGACCTCCTGTGAGATGGACAGATGATCTGAAAAGGACTGCCGGAAAAATGGGCTACAAGTGGCGTACAATAAAAAACAATGAAAGGAAGACTTGAAGAGGCTTATGTTCAGATGTGGACGTGAATGGCTAGACGAAGAAGAAAATTCAAGACATGGATGAGACGTAATAAACTGTAGAAGTTATAGAGGCGCAAACATAGACTCAGATCATTTCCTAGTGATCTCAACATTAAGGGGCTAGAATTTTAAGCACCTACAAAGAAAATAAAATGGATAGAATAAAATTAAATGTGCAAAAGTTGAGAGATGCGACAATTGTAGAACAATACTCGAAAAACGTGTACTCAAAATATAAATGAAGAAGGCCAGACAGATATAGACTCCTACCGGACCAGAATAAAGCAAGACATTGAAGCAGCAGTAGTTTGACGATGAATGCAAGAATACAACAAAAGAAAAAAATGAAGCCTACCGAAAAATGCTAACTCGACGAACTAAAACAACTGTTATTTGTAAAATCTCAACAGAGAAAAAAAATTAGAGCATTCTTTGAGAAAGTTAACATCAACAGAAATTAATTAGGACAACCACAAGACAATGCAGAAGTGAGAATGGCGACCTATTAACAACAAGGAAAGATGTATTAATGAATAGATGGGTGAAATACTTTAACCAGGCACTTAACACAGAGGAAAAAGAAACACCTGGAAGACGAAAGACGTGGTAAAGGGAATAGACGAAGTGAAGAGAAACCACAACGATTCTTGGGATCGAAGGAAATGTTCAAAGCAATGAAAGAGCTAGGAATACCAAACCAGTTGTAAAATTTAAAATACAATTAAGTCTTGAAAAAGTTAAGTCTACAGTACTAATTCAGATGTAACTGTATGACCCTTTTAAAACAAATAACGGACTGCACCAGGGAGACCCTCTCTAATCAATACTGTTTAATTTGGCTCTGGAAAAAGTAAGACGTATATCACAAATAACAACCATTGGTTTAATATGATGATATCAATATTGTTAAGAGACCGGAAAACGCTGTAGGAGAGACATTAAAAGAATCATTTACATAATAATTTAATAATAAACACCAACTAAACAAAGTGTATGAAAATAAGCTCGCAACCAAAATCCTACGACCACTTGTTATAGAAAAACGACGTTATCGAAGCAGTGAACTAATTTGTATACCAACGAGCGCTCCTTAACACTGAAAATAATACTACCGCAGAGATAAACCGCAGAATTAACACGGCTCAATCTTCTCCTTAAATCCACAATTATATCGAGAAATACAAAAATAAAACTCTACAAAAACAAGTCCAAAACAAAATACGCCCAGTTCTAACATATAGTTCAAAGACCTGGACTCAAGTCCAAATAAACTGAATACAATGGATTGTTAAGAAGACGATACAACTTCGAACTTTATAGAATATACCAGGAACCTTATATCGTAAAACATATTAAGATTGGACGTCTGAGGTGGATAGGGAATGTAATGCGAATGAAATAAAATGACCCAGCTAGAAAAATGCTGCTTGATAGACTCATTGGCCAGGAAAGAAAAAAAAGATCCCAGAACAAGGTTCCTTGTTGATCCAAAGCCAGAATGATGATGACAGTGGCTCTGAAAATGCTTTAGAACTTTGAGTGAGCTATATTAAATCGTACATTAAGACATAATTTATAAAAACATCAAAATCTTTGCATGAAAACAAAAATAACAAGACTTAGAGAATCATTGGACAAAAAAGAAAGTGATGGATAAAAAGAGAAAAAAAACAAAGATAACGAATTAGAAACAAACTAAACATGAAAATCCATCGCAAATCACCGATAAATCATGAAAGAAACTTTAAGATCTATAATATTTATATAAAACATCAATTTTCTCACCTATCCATACGGAATATTTCCTCTCCGGAGGTGCAATAATTTTGATTTTCATGGAAGCTGGTGCCAGTGCAGCTATTTCTTTTTGTATTCTATCCGCAATACCCACAAACATAGTACTACCTCCTGAGAGTACTGTATTGGCGTACAGATCCTTCCTGATGTCCATATCGGATCGCATGATGGATAGATAAGTAGTCTCTGCTATTCCCGGGATCTCCATACCTAAATAATGACAAAAAAAACTTAATTTTGTTAGTTGGGCGAATACAAAGTTGGAACAATACGTTAAGTTTTAAATTAGATAAACACGCTATAAATGGAAACACTACACGCCGTCGACTTTCCATGAACCTCCGGTGGCCCGTCGCTGATAATTTGTCATTATACAGTGGTATAATAGGCATATAAAGCAATAGAGAGTTTTTAAGCCCCTTATTTAGTAACGTTAAACGTTATACGTTATTCTGCTCATGCACATTAACAGAAAAATAAACGAATTACTTTATTAGCGGATAAGGTATCCCTTATTTAGGTAAAGATAAGTTTAACGTTATTAGGGATTACGTGTTTGTAATGTTGTCAAATGCCAGATATCTAAATCATAAAAAAAAACAAAAAAAATAGTCATATGAGCAGCTCTCTTTCCTTGTCTAAGAGCAGAACCAAAGATAACTATGATAGAATAAAAAAAAATAGAAAATTTAGTTCAGCATCTTTCTCTTCAATTGTTTCCAACACAAAATGTAGTCTTGGTGCAACAGGTATTACAGGATCAAAAATATTGTGAAGAATTAAGCCTCTTATCAAATTGTAATCTATTACTTCTCTGTGTCTTCGTCGTCTATTTTCTTAGATTATAGCAAATTATTCAAATAAAATAGGTTATAGAGTATAACGTGGTATAAGCTTGCCGTTTTATAGGTTACGTTCGTCAATGTCAATTAACGTTAATCTGTCATAGCTTAATTTCTGAAAGGATTCAAAAATATTTTAAGTAAAAACGTTATCCCTTATTTATTATTCAAGGCGCATGACAAGTATAACGTTTTACGTTTAACGTCCATCGAAAAGTAAACGGGCTAAAAACTCTCTAATAACAACGTAGATTTTTCGTTTATTTTTGTAAACAACATGTCTGCTTATACGCCCGCAAAAAAGGTTTAAATCATAAAATGGATTTATGTTGGTAATTCTGGACAACAGTGTATAGATTTGTTTTCTGTGTTTTTTGAGGAAATACCAATTCCTTGTTTACAGTCAGTTCATAATATTGTTAAATATTTTGAGAGTTATTACCTCAAAAATTACAGAAAATGTCACTCTTAAGAGGTGCCACCAGAACAAGATAAGGAAAGAGAATACAGGGATACACAAATTTGTGAATCGATGTAGATTCAACACATTCAAGTAGAAGCGTTGCTAGAGAGTTAGATGTGAGCAATGTTACGCTATTTGCACACATACCGATTTCGAACGGCCAGTGTAAAATCGGCCGATATTTAGCAGGTGCTTGGTTGTCGCTACACGAGTTTATTGAATATCGCCGTGCCTATTCAGCACCGTAGGATTAAGCGCAAGCAGTGGATTCATCCTATCAATCAAAGCAAAGAACACACGGGAATATTCTACACTATTTTGAAGAACTAAGTGTTATAATTTAAGTTAGGTGAAGTCCTCCTTCTAATTTGAAGACATCAAGAGACAAGGAAATATGTACTTTAGGAAATATGCACCAATAAACGTCTGGCCATCAACAATTATACTTTATTCCTTCTTACATACAGAATAATACAAAACTTGACTGACAGTAGTTTATACCTATTTTTGACATTACTCATTGAACTGTCAACAATGTCACTTCATATAGAACAATTATAGGACAACATCCTCTTTTTATGTTGGATATTCAAACACAAAGGCGTATGGTGTTAAGTTTTTCAACTTCTTCAGAATCTCTATTGCATCATTAGATGAACTCCATGAAAATTACGGAAAATCGACTAAAATGGCCGGTAAAAAATCGATGCGTGTGCAAGCCTGTATTTAATCACCTACGCCACTACTTTTCGATACTGCCAGCTATACAGTGGCAGTGGCCGGCTGTTCATCGGCATTTTACCGGCACCGATCAGCGGTCGACGTGTGTGTCAGGTATAGTTCTCACATATGGTTCACTAATGGAATTTGGACGACCGGTATAAAATCGACAGTACAAAATCGGTGTGTGTGCAACTCACCTTACAGTAACGAAAAAGTACAATAATTTTAAATATTCGAAAACACAGCAGTTTTATCCAGATGACTACTTTCGAAATATGGAGTTTTGTAAAACTCTAATAATGAAAGCTGAACCCAATTTTATTAAAAACATTTTATTTACTGATGAATCTTCCGTTTTGTTAGTAGGAAGACACAATCCTTCCATAACGAGGTATTGGGCGCCAAAAACCAGCACAAAAGTGTTGTTTATCGAACTCAACGACCTCAAAAAGTTAATATCTGGACTGCCAGAGTCATGTTCTTCCTGATATTCTCAATCTTCCAGATGTAAAATCTGGAGAATGTTTGATTCCATCAAGACGGTTGTTCAGTTCACAACGCTCGAATAATTAGTGAATACTTAAACAATACTTTCCCAAATCGATTTATCAGTAGAACCGGCGATATTAAGTGGCCTGCGCGATCTCCAGATCTTATATCCATGGACTTCATTTTTCTAGAGCCCAAAATTTGGAAGAATTAAAAAAACCGAATAAGAGAAGTTTCCAATTCTACCACAGCACAAACTCTTACATCTGTCCGCAGAAGTTTTTATGACAGATTGGGATGCTGTTTAGCTGTAGAAGGTCAAATATTGAATCATTTCTGTAGAGCATTAAGAATTATTTCTTATTGTATTAGGAATTATTTTTTATGTTCAATAAGAGTATATTTTTTGTTTTATCTTAAAATAAATGCCCTTTTATTTTAATTTAACTACAAAAACTTGTCCAAATTATTAAAAACCGATACAAATACACTGCTTTATAAAGGTCAGTGCATTTTTATCATATATTTGTATATTGTTAAAACTCGTGGTGATAGTCTTAGACATTGTTTAAACGACCAAGTAGAAGACTATGCACATGGAAGTCACCAGAAGATCAAGAAGAGAGAATTATTTAACATCAAATAAACCATGTATTAGTTGGACAAAGATATAGAGAATAAAAATAAATCAGAGGAATAGCTAAGGAAACGAAGGTTTTCATCTCGCATTTTTTTCGGAAAAGATCCATTTATTTGAAAATTTGAAAATAAGTAGTGGTTAGTACAAGGATCAAAATCTATATGATGTCGAAAGCGCTTTTACCGAAGGTAGTTGCCACCCCATTTCGGTGGTGGAAAATTTTATTATTTTTATTTTGGCAACGAAGGGTTACTTGTCCCTTAAAAATTGATGTTTCAAAGGGATGGAATATTTAAAAATTATGCTTAGATCACCAAAAAGTGATTACAAATTAATTCATCTTAACCAAATTTACACTGTTTATAAACTTCGAAATAGGGGAGTATCAGGAATAATGATAACATCCAAATGTTATAAGTTTAATTTTAAAATGTGAGCAATTAGGGGTAGTTTCCAGCCTTAAAAAATGAACTTTTAATGGGTTGAAATAGTCAATAAATTATATGCTTAGAGTATCAGACAATCATTATTTAATTCATCTATAACCAAATTAATTTATTTTAAGCTTTTTTTTAAAGATGTATAGATTGTATAGATTTTGACAATAAGGGGTAGTTTTCACCCTAAAAAAAACTTAAAGCGGCCATCAGAACAATAAAGATTTTGAAGTAAGTGAATGTAAGTTTGAACTTAATCCTAATATTTTTTTGCAAATTGGTACTTTTGGGCCAGAAAGGGGAGTTTTAAATGTTTAAAAATGTTAAGAACTGATTTAGATTCAGCTCAATAGAACTATTCTTGTCTTTCAGCTATATTCATCCAATTTGGGAGCCAGTCTACAGACTACAACAAGATTTGCAATTTTTTTTTTATTTTTTAACATCTTTTGTAACATTTTAGTGCCTTCTCTGTAATGTTCTATAAGTTAATTCCATAAAAAAAACTTACCAATTAGAGATGGCTGAAACATAGCTTCCGGACATCTGAACCGTTCATTTCCCAGCGTGATGATCTGCCCGTCGGGCAGTTCGTACGATTTTTCCAAGCAAGTAGTATTTTGAGCTATCGCTAGATCTTGGTCGAAGTCCAGCGCTACGTAGCAAATTTTTTCCTTAAGATCTCTGATAATTTCCCGTTCTGCTGAAGTTGTGAAGCTATAACCACGTTCCGTGAGCAGTTTCATTAGATAGTCTGTGAGATCTCTTCCAGCCAGATCCATACGCAGGATCGCATGTGGAAGGGCATAACCTGAAACCATTTTCACGTATAAGTTAGTAGAATTTGATTATTACTATTGAAAACATGACAAGAGTAAAAGAAAAGTCAAGTAGTATAAAATCTGGAGAATAAATTGGCTGATATGTTTTACATGAACAAATAAAAGTTTAAAATAAGATACATTAACATTGGTTTACCTTCATATATAGGAACTGTATGGGATACTCCATCCCCCGAATCCATAACGATACCCGTTGTCCTCCCGCTAGCGTACAAAGACAGCACAGCCTGTATAGCAACGTACATGGCATGACAATTAAACGTTTCGAACATTATTTGGGTCATTTTCTCGCGATTGATCTTTGGATTTAACGGTGCTGTCGGGTGAGCAGGACAGGGTGGTTTTCTGGGAGAGATTCTAAGTTCGTTGTAGAAGGTGTGATGCCAAATTTTTTCCATGTCGTCCAGTTGCTGATGATGCCGTGTTCGATGGGGTATTTGACAGTGAGGACACCGCGTTTCGTTTGAGCTTCGTCTCCGACGTACGAGTCTTTTTGCCCCATACCAACCATTACACCCTAAAGAAAATTGGTAATATGATCAGAATTGTTTTTGATTGATGATTGTTATGTTTTATGTTACTCCCAATTCCATTGGAAATTGTTTTAAGAAGAGAATTTTATTGTAAAAAAAGTAAAAAGAACACTAAAGCTATTTTCTATGTGGCATTGTAATTTAATTACTATTAAAACTGGAATAAGCCACAATTAAAGATAAAAATACGTTTATTGACGTTTTAATTTCCACTTCGGAAATCGTTCTTAAAATACAAACAGCAAATTAAAACAAATTTTGTTTTTTGTTACATAGTGAAAAATTCTTCTAATAACTTAATTTTATCTGAATCATTTATATTGAGACAATTCAGGCTTACATTATGCATTATTAAAGTAGACGACATTTAAAATGATATTGCCAATATTGTTGAGTTGCGCTCCTGGGACGACTTTACTTATAAGATAGTTCATTCGATTACATGAAATCAACTTAACTTGAGAATATCCTCAGAAAAAATCATAGCATGTAATTCGCCTTTAAAAAAACAAACACATGACATGATGACAGTAAAATTCTCCTGTTAGTGATTCCATAGTAAATTATAAGGTAAAACCAGGAAAAAAAACCTCATAATACTATCCCGACATTGTTAAGTATTTGTTCGTGAATTTAGTTACCTTCAACAAACATCAAAATTCTGATTTTATTATGTTACGTTATTTAAAAAACATAAATGATGTATCCACTATATGTTACTGACTTACTAATGCTGGTATTTTCTTATTAATAACTTCCTCTTTCAATATTGGTAACCAGACTACTACATTCTGCCGAGATTTTTGCGACACAATTGGCCTCATCTAGCATAATTAGAGCCGCTTCTTTGATTTTTCTTTTTTTACCATCCTTTTCTTTCAAGACTAACATTTGAATTATTCCATTGAACCCTATGTTCATTATCCCATGCGTGTTTACAGTTCATTTTTAACAAATTTATTTAGTTACTGTTTGTAATTTGAGAACGATTTCCGAAGTGGAAATTGAAACGTCCAATAAACGTATTGTTATCTTTAATTGGGCCTTTTCCCATTTAATAGTATTAAAAAGAATACGTTGAAAACTTATCCAGAAATCCAGAAATTATCCAGGCATCTGGTCAATTTTTTTATTTAATATACAGTGTTAGTCAAAACTCCGTTCCCCCCTCGTATCTTTTGAACGGTTATCGTTATAATATTGAAACTTTTAGGGGTAATAAACAAACGTAGGCTTCTCAACTAGTCATAACAGGTGACATATGACGTTACAGCGCCCTGTGACAGATAATTTCAAATGTGATCTTATGGCAAGTGATACCTCGTTTGAAAGATAGTGAAAATACCTATTCAGACATAATAATTTTGTTTGAATTTAAGCTCATTTTGATTAATAAATCAAATAAATACTAAAATTGTAGCTTCTCATTTAATTAACAAATATTTAACAACCAGTTTTTATAGTAAAAGTTTAAAGAGAATGGAAATCCAATGCATGCAATGAAAGTTGTAGGATAGCAAAAAAACCTAGTATAGTTACCTTATATCGTGGTCTGCCTACGACACTGGCGAACACGGCACGTGCGCATCATCTCCCGCAAAGCCAGCTTTACACATGCCGGAACCGTTGTCCACGACAAGGGCGGTAACATCGTCGTCGCACACATTTTTCGAGATATTTAAAATAGCTCTTTAAAATTAAAAAAAAATATATTTTATATACAAGTTGAGTCTTTAGTGCGACATTGATTGATAATTCATTATGGTACAGATTATACAAAAAATTATTTAGAAAAAATATAGGCAATGATGTGCTTCATGCTTGGAAAATGTCGCTAATTCCTACAAAGAAATTAATAAATACTGGGAAACAAACAAATACACTTTTTTTGTAAATATAATATCGTATTAATTTTTTTAACTCTTCAATCCTGTTTGACTAATGTCAAAGCTTTGATGGTATAAATCCCGAAATTTTGATAACAGAATTAAATTTTTACGGAATTCGAAATATTTTTTTGAATTGGTTCCAATCTAACTTGATGAATAGGAAATAGCTAGGTAGAGCAAATGATACTGACTCTAGTCACAAAAGCATTGTATATGGAGTACCACAAGGTTTAGTATTGGGTCCTGGACTTTTGCTTATATTTATAAATGACATCACTAACTTAAAAATCGGATGGAAAAATGTTTCTTTTTGCTGATGATACCCAGTATTACCTGAATTAACTCATAATATTGCAACTCTTTTTGCAATTATACCTTCTGATCTACTTAAAATAAAAACCTATTCTGACTTTAATTTAAAATCCAAAATCTGTAAACTTAGCAGTCTCTTTAGGTAACCTGAAGAAACCTAACATACCTTCTACTACAATGTGGATGAAAGTGATCACATTTTAGCATGATATTCAGAATAAATAAACGAGTGAAATCAACAGTTCAATATAACAGGACACACCAAATAAAGCAAATTACAAAAGAGCAAGTAACAAAGCGGAAGCCATTAACGAAAGAAAGAGAAATACATATATGGATACAGAAGAAATCAGGAGATCTAGATAGGTCAGAGATGGATAATAATTTTAAAAAGTTATATAAAACTGGATGTGATACGTCAATAGGTAGAGCGAGAGGAATAAAGAAAAATGATTGATAACAGAGAAAAGAAGAAGATAAAAGACTTCAAAACAAAATAAATAAAAGAAATATGAAAATGTAGAAAAAAATGTAAAAGAAATCAGCAAAAGCTATGAAAGAGAAAATAGGGGAATCGCGAAAATAAAGAAAGAAGTTGAGTGTCTAGACTGTAGATGAATTATTCCACATTGAAAAAGACAAAGAAACTTTTAGAAATATGGTCGCCAACCTCCGTTAATGGGGACGGCAGAGGAAGAAGAAGAAAACAAAAAATGATAAAGCGATAGGTGAAGATAATATTCTATAAGATCTGTTAAAATATGGAGAAGAAAAAAATAAATGAATCATTATAAGTAATATGTAGTAATAAATCAGTACAAATTCATAAAATTTGTAAAAGTGTCTAGAGTTGTAGTAGAATCGTGAATTTGTAGTTCGTGGAGTCAAAGAAAGCTGGGCAAAAATTAAGTCTAATATCTTAGCGTCAGCTAAGGAAGTTTTTCACCATGAAGGTGAGAAAAAATATAAATGAAAATAAATCGTTCCCAAAGCGAAGAACTCCATGGTTTTATACAGAAGTGAAGGAAAAATATAAAGAAAAGAAACAAGCTTATCTGAAATATATGTCAACCAAGGCACAAGAGGTATACCATAATTACAAGAGTAACGTAAACTAAATTACAACGTTTAAAATAAATAGGACACATCATCAAAAGACTGACAGGCAATATGGTCAAAAAAATTACAAGATGTTCTTTAATCTAATGAAGATGCTAAGAGACACCGAGAACTAGAAGGTAGATGACATTAAAATCATTATAAGAGAGCAATGGAAAAATAAATGCAGAAATAAAAGGATTGTAAACCGATAATGAAATCAGTATCAATGGAGAGGATAATGATGAATTACTGTAGTGGTGTTTAGCAACTCTATATATAATTTTGTATTTTAAATCGTTTCAAAATGCAAATTTTTAGTTAGCATACGTTTGAGAATATTTAGTGATCCTCTTGATTTCGTTCTTATTAAAAATCTATCACCCGTGCTAAAGTTAAATACAAACACTGAATTATATAAAAAAAATACAACAAAAGACCAATTTACTAACCAGCTAGTGCCCACAACTACCCACTAAACTAGACACCAAGCCACTCAGAACTTAACTGAATAGTAACGTTATGGTAAATGTCGATCTTGTTGGCTGCTCTGATTAATATCGAAGAAGAAGCAGAATATATTATAAACAATCACTGATTCCGCACCGTTAAAAGTAATTTTTACATAGTAATTAAACATATCGAACTGTCTAATTTTTAACGGGCTGTTTGCAGCTCAATTTTTTTCCTCGTTTATCGGCATTTGTTAGCTGTGTAGTTGTAAGTAATTGGATCGAACGGGAATGCTTATTGAAATTGTAATCTTATGTTTACGTAGGCTCTGTTAGTTTGTACGATAAAATTTCTAGTGAGTGTAATAGTAAATGACAAAATTAATAAAAAAAACTTACTTCTTAGTTTGTATTTCAATATTTGTGGAGGTAATATTTATAACCCCACATGTCCACATTGGCTATTTTTTCAGGAGAGTAAAAAAACCGATTCATCTACATTATTTCATCAAAACATAATTAGGTAATATAGTTATAGTTCATTATTGGTTTATGAGCAAAGAAAACTACTTATTTGTGTAGAAAGTGGTATAACAAATTAAAAATATAATATAAAAGTTGTTAGATGTGGGGTTATGCATGAAACACATGTCACATGTGGGGTTATGAACATAGCAGGTTTGGATATGTGGTGTTTTGATCAAATCAATTTACTATAGTTTAGCATAAGATTGTTTATTTTAGTGTAGGGTTGGACTCAGTATTGGACAAACTAGTAACCAAAGTAAAAAATATGTTCTTCACAATATGAAAATAAAAATTTTATTTATTATAAAATAATTACCCCTTTTCACAATATTACAGTGAAACCTTATGTTATAGTGAAACATGTAGAGTAAATCCTTTAGATAATAGTCTAGGTATTACAAGTGATGGGCACAGTCTTCTTCTAAACAGTCACAAACAACTTCCTCCTCTTCTTCAGGTACATCTACATTTGGAGCAACAATAATGTTTTTGTACCAACGAAGGCTTTCAATGTCTTGCCAGTTTGCATCAAAAAGAATATTTAACAGTTCGTTCACATCCTTCTTTTTTGCTGCGCTTACGGGAT